CCGAGTGCGTAATTCTTTATATTAAGATTTTTTATATTTATATTTTATATTTTGACACATTGGAAACTTCAGTACATATAAACAAATACGAGTTGGACGCAATAAAATTCAATACTGGCAAGCAAATGTAGGATTTTTAAACAATGGAAAAATTTAGTACCAACGAACAAACAGGATTGGGACCCAACGGAAAATTCGTTACGGACAAACAAATGTAGGATTTGGAAACAATGTAGCTATAATATTGTTATCGCTGCTCACATTGGTAAATTAGATATGCCGATTTAAGTGTGTAAAATTAGAATACGTTCGCCACAATATTTTAACCTTTTTCGATTGGTCGCTCAAAACGGTACTAGACCAGGACCGCTAGATCTTACACAGCTTGGATTTGCATACCTTTTGGTTATTAACTTTTCATTTCTTCCACCCATTTTATTCGATACAAATGTCTAATTGACGTTGTAATACATGGAAGTCAACTTAACTACGAGGAAGTCAGCTTAACATTCAGTACGACAATAAAACAAATGCTTTCATTGGTGTCAAAACACCGTCGGCATTTAATTATTTTCGCAAAGAAACGCTTGCGGGCTTAGGTGTTACGGTAGATTGACAATGACAAAGGTGTTACGGTAGATTGACATATTTCACGTTTCGATACAACAGGGAAAATTGTTGATGGGATAATTACACGTACCGAATTCAAATATGCATCTATAATACGCATTTCGCTTCATTAAAAATACTCGTATTGTTATTTATTTCGCTGCGTATGATGTGTAAAGAATTATTTGGAAAGAAATTTTAACAAAATACATGCCGTCATGTTAAAAGTTGATAATTTCATAAATGTTTATTTACATTTCTGTCATTTCAAGCTTTTTCGACTATTAAAACGAGCAATTCATGAATGTGTAACAAATTGGGGTGAAAGTTTTTATTCTTTGTAGTAAAGAAAATTAGATCCACGATTGACCTAGCGTCATGAGCTGGTTGGCAAGTGATTAGGATGAGTTATGGAGGAAATGGTGCACATAGCTTGCACTGTGAGATCACTGCGAGTGATATTGATTCCGGACTGTACTGGATCAGACTTGTAGGATCATCTCGTCCAAAAATGTCTACCTATATTTTAACATAGTGAAAAATGTCTACCTATATTAACAGTGTTTGCTATAGCTACTTCTCGGAATGTATAAATAACGACCTTCCAAAGTAACATTGATGTTAGAAAATCCAAATATAATCAATATTTGCCATTTGAAGATATATAATAAAAATGTAAAACATTACACACATTACTGAAATAATCGACGATGAATTGTAGGACGTTTCCAATAGCTGCGTTGGGTATTTCAGAAAAGGGTTTTCTGTAAGTGAAAAGATAAATTTAGAAAAAAAACTTTTCGCAAATGTTTTGAAGTAAACCTTAACAAAATATGGTTAATTTGAACTTTTTATCTACACCCTTTATCCGATGCCTGGATATTTTCAAGTAAAGTTTAACAATATTGTCAAAAAATGTAATGGTATAGAACTTAAACGTAGACTTCTGTTACTTAGTAGATGTAGATGTATCAAACACATCATGAGTACCTTTAAGTTATATCAACTGATCAATACAAAGAATTTCTAAATTTCTTGACAATGAAAGATTTAGGATTTATAAGTAGCACTAAATTCAATTTGCATATGTCATAAACAGATTATTTTCCCCCAAACGTTATGAATATTTAGCAAAATAGAATTAAACTATACATATCTAGAACGTAATTCTGATTTTACAGAGACTTGATCTATAGAGTTGAATGATCTATCGATTTATGGATAGGTGTTCCAAGATTTATTGCAATGAATTAGCGGCAGCCCATTCTTCTATTTCGATAATTATCTAGGGATACACTCCCTGGATGCACAACAACAACAACAATAGAAATTTGCTTCTTTTGCGGAATAAAGGCATCGCCAGAGAAGACGAAAAGGCAGAATCACTTGTGGAGCAACAAACTTGTAGGGTAAAAAAAAATCTACATCAAATTTCAGAGGTTTGTCGTAAACATAAACGGAAACACGTTCAACACGGTGCTACAAACATAACCCACTGTACAACATACGAGGACTGTAACTGGAAAGGAACTAACTAGATATGGATTAAGTGAAACCACCGAATACAAGGTATGCAAATGAAATGTTCATGATAATGAAGTACGAGAGCAACGACAAGCCCTCATTACAAGTATCAATGCCACAATGAAAGGCATACAGAAATATAGTATTAATGAAAAACAAGAACGGGCACCTGAAACTTGATACACTTATTTGCATGTAAACATTCACTAAATGATAAAATATTGATGTTGTCATTAGCAACTGATGAGTGATATATTAACCACATCGTGACATTATTATAAAGGTGCGCGTGAATCATGTACCAAAGTGCATTGACAACATTCTGCATGCACAAAAAAAACATTTAAATAAGCATTGCTTATGATTTTGTACATCAATGTATGAATGTTAAACAGTAAAGTACTGTAAATAGGCTATTTTTAAATTCCCAAACAAGGTATATTTAACAAAATCAGAAGTATAAAAATCTGCAATAGTTAATCCATACCAGACGTTTGAAATAATAAGCTGAACTTATGTCACATTTGTCCTTATTGCTGTAGTAAATTGTCTGTTAAGTATACACTACCTGACAAGATCTCGGAATCATTCTGACAGCATATAAAATAGGTGTCCTATATATTATAAGAAAAACCACAAAGAAGGCACGAGGGTAAAGTATCCGTGCACATCATGAAATACGGGTATCTCGTTGTAAACGATCTACAACGAGATACACTTATTACTCAGCTACTGTTGGCTAATGTTTAATAGATAAAAACATATATAATAAAACTACCCGACGTAACGCTATACGAGGCAACGAAATCCATTACTCATACTCCTTCTACATAATTAAGTTATTGTCTTACTTTACTCCAGAAGTATGATGGTTCTCATTGTGTGGTTCAAACCGCCACTCTCACAAGCTGGACAAATCCAAAACAAAATAGCAACAAGCATGTCCTCCAAAAAGTAAATTAAATGGGCAAATAGCGCCTAAGAAAAACGGAGAATTTGTTTATTCACATAAGCCTAATAATTCAGGATTGGATTTAGATGCGGTTTCTAACAAATTAAAGTGAACAATATACATAAAGCGAACATCAATTGCTAAAGTGCAACATCATTGCATTTTTCTCCTTTGTCTTTCTTTCTTAGAGCTTTTTTTATTTCATTTAAAATTAAATTACCCTGAAATTTGGTATCATCTTGTGATCAAACGCACATAAAAGGAAAACGCACATAAAGGGAAGCAAATGCACATAATGTATAGAGAAATGTTAGACTATTATGGGGTAGAAAATATGTAGCCACTGAATACAATGGGAATGGGTATATCATTCACATTGGGTGGGGTGGGGTGCGTGAACAGCACACCCCTTACCATCAAAAGAACAAACTGATGTTTTCTCAACAAACGACTGATTAGTCAGAAGGCGTGTACTAATCACCCTGTTTACTCTAGATCCAAACACGGGAACTATTTACTTGACTGTACAGCACGGGCGGCACGTTTGTTCTCATACCTTTTCTCAAGTGTTCAGCCGTTAGACCGATGTTAATGAAAATAGTGGGAAGGGATGAGATACATAAATACTACACACAGCCAGTTAGACTGCCATTGTAAACTGAGGAAGGCATCACGTCGAAAGGCAATCGAATTGAACCGAAATGGGAGTAGAACCATGGAACAAATGCAAGTTCGTTTTGGGCGAAGATATAGGTAATTAATTTAATTTTGAAAACAGAACCTTATAGGGAAAATATACTCTTACATTTGGGTAGTAATTTTAAAAAAGTTGAATACATGAAAATTATTGAATATATAATTTCCGTTATGAAAAAATGTGGACAAGTCATAAGTATTAGGAAATAACACTTTTATATGAACAATGTCTAATATATTTTTTTCTATATGTAGATATATATCTACAAATAGAAGAAGTAAGGGACAAGGACATCGTAGGGCTATATCACATGGCGTTACGCGAAGTGGGCAGGCCTGCGGAAAAGCCTCCGAAAACCCCATGTGTAGTTATGTGTATAATTGTTTCTTTTGGCCCATTTGAATTTTCTGGAACATGTAATATTATAAAGAAATTGCTGCAAACATACAGGGTGCTACATAAACTAATAAAGGAAATTTATAGACCCTGTTGTTAAAGCAAAATTAAGAAAAAAAACCTAATGGGGAGACTACTCACGGCACACACACACACACACACACACACACACACACACTCGACTAAAACAGTTCTTGTTTATAAACATCGTTCTTTTTATATATAAACATTTGGTTTGCACCGTCTCACCCTCAAATGTTATAAATTTCAAAAATTTTATAAACTGCATAAATAATAATTAAATAGTATATACTATATGCATACCATAGCATGAAAGCTGAAAGGAAGAAGGTGAGGGTCTTAATAATGAATGAAAGAGTTATTATGCAAATATACAATTCTAATTAGAAAACTGGAACAATTAGACTTAACGACTGTCCTAACAATTACTTTATAGCACAAAACACATAGCATACATAGGACATAGGAACCAAGGTCACAATAATACAAACATGGGGAACGACCTCGATAAGGTAAATAAAACCCTATAGGAAGAGTGAACCTTTAGATACACTAGAGGAAAAAAGACCCCATTAAAAATTTACGATAAAGAAAAAAAATTGATCAAATTTCTATTTTAATATACCACATAGCAACATATCTGAGGGATGTATACAAAAACACATAAAAGACTTTATTAGGTTTTTTTCGGTTAACGTGGGGGGCATCTGTCTGGTGTCCCCCCCAAAAAAACAAGATATGACGCAGATCAAGCATGATTCGCAATCATTAATTGAAAGTTTATAGAACGGACCTACCAAGGAACCGGTGGCCTACCTAGTGGCTAGAGCGTCCGCCTCGAATGCGGGAGGTCGTCGGTTCGATCCCCGGTGGAGTCATACTAAATACTTACAAAAATTGTACTAACAGCTGCCTCGCTTGACGCTCAGTATTAAGAGGTTTGTGTTGGGACTGGTCGGCCTGGTGTCAGGATAATGTGACTGGGTGGGACATCATGCTATATGTCTGCGGCATGATAACCCAGTGCTAGACATCACTATAAACTGCCACACTGCAGACATCGTAGCGACATGACTGAAAAATTGTTAAAGCTACGTTAAAAATTATAAACGCCATAAACACACAAAGGAACGTTTTGTGCAGCCTTGTCTTCTTTTGTTTTTGTCTTGTTACTTCACAATGGAATCCTGCGCCTTTGTAAAGATTGTGATAATTATATTTTTCACTCACTTTATTCTTTCTTCACTTCGTTTGTTTTGAAATTTAGCATTCAACCACTTAGTTTCTTCACCAGACCTATTGTGAGGCAAACTAGAAGAAGAAAAATTAGTAATATTTTAGCACAGAAACGATAGAAGGCATGAGATAATGCTAATAGCTCCTTTAACGGAGAAAAGACGGCTTATCAACTGTGAAGAGTTGGCGTACTTGACACCCTAAATGATTAGAAGTGTCCATAAGATATATGTAACGTACAAATTGGAGTGGGAGAAGTAGATGTATTCTCTATGCAATAGGGCTGAGTGTCTTCATATTGGTCAGAAAAGGAATACAACAAACGGTAAGAAAATAAGTAGATGGAGCCCTTGCACTACTTTTCGAAAGGTACAACTATTGAGGTATGTATTACCGGTCTACCGTTAGAAATATCTCTATTGTACTAAAAGCTGAACTGGAAATTCCAGACACAAAATTTGCCCTGGATAAAACTAAGCAGATTCGGGAAGGCCTAAAAATGTAATTCAAAAAAAAAAGTATTTATCAAAGATTTTACTATGGGTTTTAATAGATTTTAGTGGAATTGCATCTGGAAAAATTGTCTACAAACATTATGGTCAACACGTATTGTATGACTTAGTCTTAGTTGAGGGACCGATAGCCTACTAGTACTCCGCTTAATGGTTCGTCAAAATGCAAAATGATTGTATGGAAAAGAGATTGCGAATTACAGAAAAGATATCTTGAAGCTTTAAAGTAAAAATGAAATGAAATAAATATATTTTAGAACCTTGTAACTTTTGTGAATAAAATTATATACAAGGCATCTATAGTGTCTTGAATAAAGGAGGATACCCGTATTACTGTGGTGGAATGGAATTCTAGGAAATAGCGATGTATAGTCAAAATGCAATTATTATATGACAAAAGAAATTATGAAAGCTATAAGACAAATAAATAAGGGAAAGTCACCAGGTTCTGATAGCCTGTCGGAGGAATTTTATCAACAATTTAGTTTCAAATCTCGCTAGTATTTATGCGATAATATTCTTCTCCAAAGATAAATGACAATAAGACAGGTAGGCATAATAAAATAAGGGGAGGAGAAAATTTAGAAACGTGTTACTAATATCACTGATAATAACGACTCAAAATGTTAAATATTGGCAAGCATAATTAAGTAGTGCATAGGTAAAACTATTAAATGTGTGGGACAATGACATAAATATAATAAACAATACCATAACAGTCCAAGCAATAACGGAGTTTGTGGAAACCAATTGAGAAAAATCTACATTGATACGGTAAAATAAAACAAGGCCTTCAATACTTCAATAGGAGCGAACATGTATATATTAAACCGTTTTAGAGAAATATTCTTTTGGATCAACTTATTGTAAAAAAAAAAAAATTCTAGAGTAAAAATTAATGGAGTAAAGACAATGAAAATTTAATGTAAAGAAATCAGTTAGAAAGGGTTTGTTCTGTTAAGTGTTACTGTACGTAGTGTCTGCTGAAGCAAGAGATATCAGAAAAATAACAATGCAATATAAAAAAGAGTAAACCGAACCTCGACACAGAGCTCAGAATGATAATTCATGTTAGACAATTTTACAAAAGAGGAAAACACCTGAACAAGGCACATATTTTTTTTGGAAAAGCATGAAGTTCATGAGTTTACCATGAAAACAAAAATATTAAGAGGTGATTGGAGAGGAGACCATGCAGGTTTAACTCCGTCTAATAAAGGACCAATTTAAAGCCCTAGGATTTTATAGCATTGATGTCAATATCAGAAACTAAAAAAAACAAAACAATAGAAAATGTATAAGGTAATGTCAAACTATAGTCCTTTTAACAACGAAACAAATCTAGAAAATACACACGCACACACATTCACACACATGGATATACACGTGTTTCTACGGCCATAATCTAAGTAACAGAAAAGAAGAGAAAACCAGCAAGTTTTGTAAAGTTTAATAAATAATTTATTTCCCTGGGATACAAATTAAAACTTAAAAAGAACTTGACAGTATCGCGAACTAAATTCCAAATAGTGCCAATATTTTTTATCACAAGCCCAAACAAAATTCCCAACTGAATTCCAATGGTATTCCAAAAAAATGTTCAAGATTGAATTTGTTGATATGACTAGTCTCAATGTACCATTGAGCTGAATCTTGGTGATGTTTTAAGGTTTATGCATCACAATATAATCCAAAATGTTCTTATCTGAATTCATTATAATTCCAATTGGTTTCTGTCCATACATGTGATGGACACTTTGTATTTCCAGTGATTATATATTTCCATACTTCACACCAATGAAAATCTGAACAAGAAAATAAGACTGATCCTGCTTCAAAATGTAAAGGCAAGATTAATTAATTCGTCACTTAGCAACGTAAAATAAAAAGCTAAGACACAAAAGATGAACAAGATAAGGGTAAACACTTCATTTGTAGATTATTGCAAGTTTTTAACAAGAAAAATGGTCTACTACTAAACTTTAAATGAAGATGTCAAACTTCACATACATTTTTTTTCCGCTGGAGAATTACAATATCCTAGAATAAAATTAAACAGGTTTCCTTCCATTGAAAATGATCCCATTATTAAATATAGTCTCAGAAATATTAGCTGTTTATTGTCTTGTTCACAAAGTCAGTGTCTCGAGTCACGTACAGTAAAGTTGATTTATGTGCTAGGTCAAGTACAAAATGCAAGTATATATAAAAATAATTAAGAAAAGAACATATATAGTCAATCACATTCCAGATATGTATATGTACAATTGAGTCATCAAATATTACAACCACTCAATGCATAGGATAAATATCGACATGTTTTACATATTCAAATATGGGGAAAATATGGGAATCCTAAATTTCTCCATTGTATACTATATGCCTTTAAAAAACAAGGGCAATGCGGGAACACTCGTAATTCAGATTAATAACCCTGATGTGTAATGTAAATTGGTGTAGTTTTGTGTATGTTTAATTTATATTTTGTGTACGACTTTTGTCAGTGATTGGACCGCTCCGGTGTCCATAGTGGTTAGAGCGTCGGTCTCGGATGCAGGAGTCCGCGGTATCGAATCTGTCCTGAATCCTACCAAAGACTTGTGAAAACGGCAATTACAACTGTCTAGTTCGGCGCTCAGCATTAAGATGTTAGTGTTAGAATTGGTGTCGGGATAATGTGATGGGTGGGGACATGCTGAATCTCTGCGTCATGATGTCCCACTGTTAAACATCACTACAAATTGCCACTCTGCAGACATCGTACCAATATCTCTGAATAATTGTTAAAGCTACGATAAAAATCCAAAACACACAACACGCACACACACACAATGTCCATGATTGCGTGTCGACTTTTTAGAACTGACATTTCTCATTTTTTTAATAAAAAAAGACTAGTATTAAATGTTTAATTAAAGGCCTAACCGTTAATATGAATTGGTTACGTCCTAAAAATAAAACTTGTCGACAGTAGATTGGTATTTTCCATTGGCGTTTTAGAAAATACTATTTCGACATATGCAACTTTGAGTGTGTATAAACGAATAGGTAAACAATTATTTATTCATATTTTATTATCAGTTTGTGCAATCATCTATAGTTGTGTTCAGATATATTTCAAGAGAAATTAGTTAAAAGTATTCATTGGAATTACAACGTATTGGCATTTTTTATTAAAGCACTATTGTGAGAACACGTTTAAAACATTTTGGATTATATCATTGTTACACTTAAGCAATATTGGTACATTATCACATTAAATATCTTATATATTCATTTGGAACATTCTATTCCTTGTGACGTGATGTGGACCTTTAGGAATTTTTTGATCCTAATTCACAATACTGGAAGTTCCTCCAAAGTTTTCACCTAGTATTCTAAAGAAAGGAATACAATGTTGAAATTTACCTTGTTGGTTTCACTTTCTTTAGGTTACATAGTTCAAGACCATGGATTCGAAACAATATAATTGATTTTTAGCGTGGCTTTAAAATTATTTCAAAATTATTTCAGGAAAGACTAAACAAAAATAAAAATAAATACCAAAACTGGTCATACTCCATGAAATGAAATAGACGGTCAAACAAATCCCATCGAAAAGAGGAGGGGTGCCAATAATTAGATAGGCATATTTTTCCCTGGGGCTGCGTATTCCTCCTCCATAAGACGGGGAGGGGTTTACTCAACAAAATAACAAGCTAACACAAAAGGAAATTTGCATACTATTGATAGATATCGCCACACATAGGATACATAAAGAATTATAATGGCTAATGCAGTTTAGTATAGGTTGTACCGGAATTTCTGAAAGAGCGGTGTCTGTGCCAATATCAAAGATGACAAAAGAAAAATGCAGAGGAAAACAGTAATATAAACTAACAACTCTGGGTTTTCAGACGAAAACTCGCAACATGAAAACATTGCGTACAAAACTTTGCCGTTTCTTAAAAAATTTACCTCCAACAAACTAATGCACAGAAATCACTATAAATAATATATGGGTCTGATTAAGCAGGGCCACTGTGATGAAAGAATGGCGAGTACATCGGACGCACTAGGGGTCTGATTCACAAGGAGAGCCCATGTGCTACTGTTCATGCCCGAACTAACCACCCCGTATCTCCCATTCA